AGAGAGAGAGAGAGGCAGAGGCAGAGGGAGAAGCAGGCTCCCCGCGGAGCAGGGAGCCCGATGCGGGACTCGATCCCAGAACCCTGGGATCATGACCTGAGCTGGAGGCAGACGCTTAACCGACTGAGCCACCCAGGCGTCCCTATAACTTTTGACTCCCTGAAAATTTAACTGCTAATATCCTCCTGTTTTCTGGAAGCCGTACTATTAACATAAACAGTCCATTATCCCATATTTGGTATGTTGTATGTATTAGGTACTGTATTCTTATAACAAAATAAGTTAAGAGAAAAAATGTTAAGAAAATCATGAGAAAATAAATTTACAGTATTTACTGAAAAAGATCCACATATAAGTGGACCTGCGCAGTTGAAACCCGTGTTGTCTAAGGGTCATCTGTACTTCATATTATAGAAGGGCTCGTTATGTGAATGAAGTGTTAGAATTGTTTCTTCCTGATTATGAAAATACTATTACAGATTTGGAAGCTATAGTAAAGAATATGAGGTGGAAGAACCCCTCCATAACCCTACCACCTAGCGATTTGATGTAATTTCTCCCAATTTTAGTTTCTCTCCCTACAGAGTAATTTAGAGATTATGTTTATCTTTGTATTAATCCTTAATATTCATAAAGGTATTTATGATTGTCTTCATTATTTATTGTTTAGGAGAATTGGCTATTTACCTACCATGATTGAGAAATAGATGCAATATCTAGAAATTTTGAAGCCTCAGGCGGGGGTGCTAGTTAGACTTCTTTTTGTGTTGTTCCCAGTTTGGGGACTGTTTTAATTAGATAGTGCTATGGGGAGGCTCTTGGCGCAGAAAGTCTTTTCTGTCTTTAGGATCATCTCCTGTGAGTAAGTTTCTGGGGGCTTTAGAAGGCATGTCCCTTCTCTTGCAGACCATCCTCCCTGCCGCTGCCCAGGACGTTTACTACCGGGACGAGATTGGCAATGTTTCCACTAGCCACCTCCTTATTTTGGACGACTCTGTAGAGATGGAAATCCGGCCTCGCTTCCCTCTGTTTGGCGGGTGGAAGACCCATTACATCGTTGGCTACAACCTCCCAAGCTATGAGTACCTCTATAATTTGGGTCAGTTTTTAGTAGTTAGGGAGTAAAAAGGGGAGAGACTATCATTTCGTTTCCTGCATTTTTGTTTCTAGTGGTGGTTTTTTTGTGTGTGTGTTTGTTTTTGTTTTTTTAACACTTGCCAGTCATTTTTGATGGGAAGAGAGTATTGTCGTTTTTTGGAAGTCTGGGATATTAGGAACAATTTTTTAATGGGTGGGGACAAATTACTATTGTAAAAGTAATAACATGCATTTGGTAGTCAGTTCGAACAGTCTGGTAAAAATCCTCTTCTTACCCCCATTTCCATCATAAGATGGAACTGCTTCAATTCTTTTAATTTGAGGTTTTTAAAAAAATAAAGAGAAAAACTAAGAGAATAATAAACACTTTTACACAAGCACCCAGAACTAATTATTATAATCATTTTGCCATATTTTCTTCATCTTTTTTTTTTAAATCTTTTAGATAGAAAATTAAATAGAAAAAACCACACTAACAAATGTATAGCTCAATAAATGTCTATACGAACACCTCAGAACCACCACTCAGGCCCAGAAATTGAACTGAGCCAGCCAGCCAGAAAGCTCTCCACGTACCTTTTCCTTCCCCACAATAGTGGTTACCATCCTGACTTTTAGTAACCACTTTCTTGACTTTGTTAAGTTTTATCACCCAAGTGTGTGTCTTTAGAATCTCTACTTTAGTTTTGCTCTTTTCAAAAAATTTGATGTCTTATGAGTCTCTATTAATCCATAGTCCCCTCCTCCATCTGTTTTTTTTTTTTTTTTACAGTTTATCAAAGAATGTGAGCCACTTGTAGTGTAACCTACAGTCTGGATTTTGCCGACTCCTTACTTAAAGTGCAATTCAGTATTCCTGTGTTTTCTGTGTTTCTTGCAGATTGAAAGCTGTTACCTTCCTTGATGTCTTATGAAAGACATTCTTGGCCCAGCTTATATATTTTCTTTCTTTCTTTTTTTTTTTAAGATTTTATTTATTTGACAGAGCACAAGCAGGGGGAGCGGCAGGCAGCGGGAGAAGCAGGCTCCCCGCTAAGTAGGGAGCCCGATGTGGGGCTCGATCCCAGGACCCTGGGATCATGACCTGAGCTGAAGGCAGATGCTTAACCGACTGAGCCACCCAGGCACCCCCAGCTTGTATGTTTTCTGTCTCAGACCTGGAATCAGCTCTTTCTCCTCAAAGCCCTAGTTTCTTCTTGTGGAAAAACGTGTTTTAAGACCACAGTCTGAGAACTAGGAATGCATATTGTTCTTAGTTTGGTCAGTATTTAGGCCTTTTCAGTTAACAGAGCTAGGTGTGTATTATGTCTATGTGTAAAAAAATTATGAATTTATATAGTTACTTAATAGTGTGAACTGTAATGATTTTGCTCCTATGTTTTATCTGTATCTAATTCCATATCGAGAGTCCTCTTTCTGAAGGACAGAGAAGGTGACAGAATGAGAGCATTCCACAATTAATTGTTTTATCCCACGCCTAATACACAGCAGTCTCAGAATAAAAAATGGTCATACTACCACTTCCAATATGATTACTGAAAAGAGTTTATTTTTGGCATATCCCCTCCCCATTCTACCCCATTTTGGTGTGCTGTGTGTATACTGTATATCTATTGTCAGAACAAATAGCCATTACACAGCATGCTCCCCCCCTTTTTTAAAGATTTTATTTATTTATTTTGAGAGAGAGAGCGAGCATGAGCGGGGCGGGGGGCCAGAGGCAGAGGGAAAGGGAGAAGCAGACTGCCCAAGAAGCAGGGATCCCGACTTGGGGCTCCATCCCAGGACCCTGGGATCATGAGCTGAGCCAAAGGCAGATGCTTAACCGACTGAACCACCCGGGTGCCCCTTTTAACTCTATTTTTTTTTAAGATTTTATTTATTTATTTGACACAGAGACACACCGAGAGAGGGAACACAGCAGGGGGAATGGGTGAGGGGGAAGCAGGCTTCCCGCAGAGCAGGGAGCCCGATGCGGGGCTTGATCCCAGGACCCTGGGATCATGACCTGAGCCGAAGGCAGACACCCAACGACTGAGCCACCCAGGCGCCCGCCCCTTTTAACTCTAGTCTTACCTCTATAGTAGCTGTAGTTAATGCTTACCCTGTCAGTGTTTACATTGACAGCTCTAGTCATTTTGATGAAGCTCATTCTCTAGTAGATTCCTTAGGGAGGGCTTATGGGAATGAGTTCTCACATATTGATAGTTGATAACAGGTGGTGCCTTTTGTGCATATAAGTATCTTGAGGAATATAACATCACTGGCTCATATGTCTTTCCTTGAATATCTTAAATACGTTACTTTTTTTGGTATGAAATGTCACTGTCAAGGTCTGATGATCTAATTTTTCCCCTTTATAAGTCTTTTTATATAAATATTGAAAGGGATTCTTCCTTTAAAATCTAATACTTTTGGGGCGCCTGAGTGGCTCAGATGGTTAAACATCTGCCTTTGGCTCAGGTCATGATCCCGGCGTCCTGGGATCGAGTCCCGCATCAGGCTCCCTGCTCCTTGGGAGCCTGCTTCTCCCTCTGCCTTTCTCTCTCGCTCTGTCTCTCATGAATTAAAAAAAAAAAAAAGACTTTAAAAAAAAAATAATAAAATCTAATACTTTTCTGGAACATGTTTTGGCAGTGGTTGCCGTGTTCCTATTCTTGGGTCTGCATTATGTTTTTTCAACTTACAGTTTTGAAACCTTTTTGTAAGTTTTCTACTTTTATTTCTTTGTTGAGTCTTTGCCTATTTTCAATATTTGGCAGTTTCTCGAGTCTTTCCTTCATTGAAAACTTTACTTCTTTTTACTTTTTATTGTAAGAGATTACCTGTTGTGTTTATTCATTGCTATTCCTTTTAGCTTATCCTTTGTTTCTAAAACAATTATCTTCTTTCTAAAATTTATTTCCTGCATTTTAGCTTATCCTTCGTTTCTAAAACAATTATGTTCTTTCTAAAATTTATTTCCTGCATAAAAAATTTCCTGAATTTTTTCCTGCATTCTGTCACTTTTCTGAATTTCTATAATTCTGGTTTATATTGCTCTTTCATGACTTGTGTCATTTTTATTTTTTTTATTTTTATTTTTATTTTTATTTTTTTTAAAGATTTTATTTATTTATTCATGAGAGACAGAGAGAGAGAGAGAGAGGCAGGGGGGGAGCAGGCTCCCAAGGAGCAGGGAGCCCGATGCAGGACTCGATCCCAGGACCCTGAGATCATGCATGACCTGAGCCGAAGGCAGATGCTTAACCGTCTGAGCCACCCAGGCGCCCGACTTGTGTCATTTTTATAGTACCTTTAGCTTGCTTTGAAATACTGGGAACAGTTTTTTTTGTTTGTTTTTTAGAGAGAGTGTGTGTGTGGTGGGGGGGCGCAGAGGGAGAGAGAGAATCTTAAGCAGGCTCCATGCTCAGCATGGAGCCTGATGTGGGGCTCGATCTCACTATCCTGAGATCATGACTTGAGCTGAAACCAAGAGTATTATGCTTAGCCGACTGAGCCACCCAGGTGCCCTGCAGGAGGAATTTTAATTAGTTTTGTGGCATGAATTTCTGGCATGTTTTCATTTTCTCTTGGGATGTTCTCTTTTTTTTGTAGCTTTTAAAAATATAACTTACTCTGAGAGTGAGGGGTACCCTTTTTCTGTTGCTCAGTTTTCTTTAATTAAAAAAAATTTTTTTTTAAGTAGGCTCTGCACTCAATGTAGGGCTCAAACTCACAACCTTGAGGTCAAGAGTTGCATGCTCTATCAACTGAGCCAGCCAGGCACCCCTCTGTTGTTCATTTTTTTTTTTTTTTTTTAAAGATTTTATTTATTTATTAGAGAGAGTGAACACGAGAGGGGAGGGTCAGAGGGAGAAGCAGGGAACCTGATGCAGGACTCGATCCTGGGACTCTGGGATCATGACCTGAGCCTAAGGCAGTCACTCAACCAACCGAGCCAGCTAGGCCCCCTGTTCATTTTTAATGTGAGTTTTTAGGAGGAGGTATCGTAACTGCCAGTTCTCTGTTGATTTAGTATGGTATTTTGATTTTCTTCCAGCAGTTTTTCCTCCACTTAGGGTGCTGTCCTGGGAGGAGAGCTCTGATGGCTTTTCCAAGTTCTCAGGGACTAGACTGCTCTAGACTCACAGGTCCGTGGGCCTGTTTTGCTTGCCCACCACGTGGGGTCAGGGGAGGACTCCTCGGAGCTCCAGCTGCTTTCTACAGTTGGCTTGCCTCCTTCTCTAGTCAGTGTGGTGGCCTGTTTGGGGCTCTTCTCTTCTCAGGTCTGTCACTTGCCCTGTTGCCTCCCTCTGCTTTCTCCTTTACAGACACTAGTAATGTGCACGTTGTGTGTTGTTGGCGTTTTGTGACTTCCCCATTTGTATTTTGGGGTTCATGGAGATCCTTGTTTTACCTAGTTTTTTTTTTTTTTTTTTTTT